TAAAGGAAGCTCTCCGGGCAGGTAAACCCCATAGAGAACCAAGCCGTGTGGCATCAAAATATTACACTATTAAAAAACTGCTGGGTCATTGTTTACCTCACAGACAAGGAAATTATTTTATTTTTCCACATGATCTGATGACATTATAACCTCAAGAGAGACAAAGAAACATGCTTTCTGTCATCTTTCCAAGTACCTATTTTGCTAGTGTATTGAATTTGGCTTGGATACCAAAGCCTGTTTCCCACGGAATTCATCTGGAAGCCTGTTGTGGTCACAGTAGCATGGCTTTCCATTGCACAGATGTGTGAGGCAAGGCTACCCCTTTAATCTCTGCTGCTTAACCTAGTCTGAAGCACTTTAAATTATATAGCTCGAGAAGCAAGACAGCAGTGTGAGCTCCTGGCAGGCCAGGAAAAACGCACGATTTGGCTTTGCACTAACAGCTCTAGTCCTTAATTCAAAACCGTTAAGAATCTGATCATAATCTCTGAAGGCTACCTAGTGCATTTGCTTGTAAAATTAGTTGGAATAAACTGGAAATGGTGCATGTAAGCATGCTCACTTGACATTTTGTGATAACTGAAACTTGGGGTGGCAGCCTGAACGTGAACTACCTGGGGACACCTTAGGACAGCGGGGTGGGTAAGTTGGACACAGTCCATCAGGACTTGGTTTTAGCGCCGAGAGCAAGGAGGTTTATGCATGCTGAGAATGGGTGTGCTCTGCCTTTGAGGCCAAGTCCATGTGAATCAAAAGAGCGGGCTTCACTGAACGTCGTACCTCCTGAGGGGGCACCTGGTTACAGATTCTCTACTTTTTATGGAAATTAGTATTTTTGACATATGATGCAACAGGGAAGCAGGGCCTGAATTCTTGTGAGGGACTGTCCTCAAAAGACTGAACTGTATAGAAGCTGCTTTTCCCAGTTGCCATTAGTGCATTGCTCAGGCAGCCTCAGGCTTCGCAGTGCAACAGTGCCATTCCCTGACTGCTTGACGCAGCAGGATTTGGTTCCTCTCAACCTGCTGGCAACAAGGCTAGTTTCAGCTTGTTCCTGTTTTGTTCATAAAGTATCTCCTACAACATCTGCTTCCAGATTAGCTTTAGCCCACTTGGCTGGAAACCATTTTTATTCTGTAACTCCTTGTGAACTGATGCAGAACTGTGGGTGAAGCACTGAAAGCTGAGTTGCATCTAACATGAAGTTACATCTTCTTCCTTGCTAAAGGCACTAACGGTACAGCATAGTGATTCCATGGCATAAGTTGTCATTAAAAAACAACTAATCCCCAGACAATGGGAATGCTGGATGTTGAATGCTGGATATAAACTGTTTATTGCTTAGAAAACTCTCCATTAGATTTCTTCTCAGATATTGTCTGTTATACTCTCTGTAGAAGAAAAATGTGCACAGTTTACCCTGTCTGTATCCGATCCAGTGTCTTCTTGAATCTTACCTCATGAGAAAATGCCTTGCAAAACATTAAAACTTCAGTATGGATTTACATGATTAAAGCTGATTCATCATAAAATGGTGTATTGTTCATTCTGGTGTGCACTTGAGGCTGTCTAGGCTTTGCCAAAAAAACCCTGCTTCTGGAGATCTGGACCTCATGGTCTCACTAGCTTCCCTGTTCATTGTTCTTTTGACCAGCTGTACCTGGCAGGATTAATTTCATAATGGAAACCTTCTTCCCAGAACTGAGTTGTAGGATATACCCCAACATCTTGAGACTCTCAAAATGACAGAAAGGTTGATGCTCTTGAGCAGTATTTGAGGCTAGGCTGCTTAGACTGAAGCCTACATTGTCTCCAGGGATAGGAGTTTGGCATGATGAACTGACTGACCTAGCAGCTGAAAAACAAAAAGCCTTTCAGAGAAGTGGACTCAAAAATTTGCAAAGATTTAGTCTTACCTTTGGAAAGATTTGGGACATCACTAGCAGACAGAAACCAAGATGTTCTCCTTGACCCTCCTTTCTTTTCTGCCTCTGTTCTTCATCTATACACTCTACTTCTCTCTACTTCTAGCTTAACCAAAAAAAAGTTCAATCCAAAATATGTATTACTTTTACAATTTCTATCGAAACAAGATGTCGCATAGTGAATACCATCTCCCAGGAAGCAAGTAAGAGAACAAGGAACATATTACAGATTTTAATCATGATGAATGCTTTCCAGTCATGCCTCAGGGAAATTCTGCAATGAAAGGAGGCAAGAATCTAGAGACAGCAAGTCTATTAACATTTCAGATGAGTTTTGAAAATCAGTTAGGTACATTATTCTGAAAATCCTGTCTCATTGTGTGATAAGTTTCTTCTCGGTGGCACTTGTTGCTACTTGCTGCAGTATCAGGTCCTAAATGTCAAAAGCTCAGTGGGGAGCTACAGGATTAGGTAGATCTGTGCCTGGGATTTAGTGTTTGCAGCATCAGGCTTCTATGTTAACAGTCTGTGTAATGTCATAAGGAAATAAATGTTATGGTATCTGATCTTGCTTAAAAAGGAATAATTGCATAATTCAGCAGTTCATGGTGCTTTTGAAAAGTGTACAAGGTGTTAACATGACTCTAGAAAATAAGCCTATGTTTGTAATATGTACACACATGTTCATTAGTTCATATAGACTTGTGTGGCGTCAGAGCTTGGTCTTTGGGATTCTTTATCTCAATCAATGGACCCTGAAACACGTCTGAGTTCCCCAGTTGAGGTACATGTCCCTGCCCCATCCCATGCTTGTATCAAGATGCGACTCATAACCATCCTTTCTCCACTCTGTGCCTCAGCTTTCTGTAAAGTGCACAGCCCAAAAGGGTCCTGTGGTGCACCCTCCTGGGGCTGAAGCCACCAGATACAGCAGAATACAAACTTTCACTCAATTTAGATAGTAGCTCTGTGACTTGAAGCTACCAGCCTGTTCCTTTTTACAGCTCCAGGATTAGGTTAGTTACCATTTCACTCTCATTGCCAAGACAGACATTCCAAATGTAAGTTATTCTTTTACCTAAGCTCAGGAGGGTGAGGTGTTGGAAATATTAATAGAGCTCTCATTATCTTCTAACAAAGATTTGTCATGTCAGTACTAATTTATACAGTTCAGCAGCAAAGGCTCCTAATGATTCTGTGGACAAAAAGGAATTATGTACTAACATGTACTTCTATTTAATAGCATTAACTCTAGGAAAAGCAATTTTTTGAAATTTTACCCTGAAGCTGTAGTCTCTGTGGTCTCCTATTGCATATTTGGTTTTAAAAAAACGTACTGTTTTGTAGTTTTAAAATACATTTAACTTTCACTAACATAGTGTTTGGACATCTGCCAATTCCACTTTGGAATTTCAACTGATAAAGAGGGTAGCCAACAATTAGGTGCATATTTGTTATAAATCCAGGGATAGGCTTTGTCATCTTAGATAAGATGAGATAGGTATTGTTTGTATGTCTTCTTCTAACTTATAACTAGAGAAACATGAATAGAAGCAAAAAACTTTTTCTGTCACAGACTTAGTTTTTAGAAAGTTATTTTAAACCTTGTTTTTCAGTTTGTTTTCAACACAGCACTGCTTTTAATATGAAGTAATTAAATTGGAAGCGTTAAATTGTGTAATCATGAGTTCAGTTTTTAAAATTACCTCAGCAAATTTATTTTGCATTTTTCAAGTCTCCTGTAAACATGTGAGCAAAAAAAAAGGAAAAAGCAGATTAGAATCTTCCTGCAGTGAGAAATATGTGGATTCTTCTCTGTTTCTTCTTAGAAAACTTTGCATTCTGACATAAATAGTCTGGCTTTGAATTTCAAATAAGCATACATGAATGTTTGACTTTTGACTTTCAAAAAAGCATATACCAATGTTTATGCATCAGTCTTCACAGTAATCTGAAGTGTTTAAACTTTAGAAGGATGGATCTTGTGGGTATTTAAATATTCTTTGCCTGCAGTTAAATGATAAAAGCTCAGTAAGTACAGTTTGCACATGGCTTGAAAAGTTTTTTTTCTAGGTTCAGTCATACATATATCACTGGCACTTAGTGAATTGTAGCTTGCAGTAGAAATGAGGAATGTTACCTCTTTAACTATAAAATAACTGTGTCACATATGCAGTAAGCATGAAGCACACGGTGGACTAATGGGACTTGTTATTGATGATGCTGAAAGCTAAATAACCATTAGTATTAAATCTTATGAAAAGACTCTTGTCTTTCATCTTACCTCTTCAACCAGATAAAAGACACAGAGGCTATTTAGATGTCATAAGAATAGTTTGTTGAAATCCCTCCGGACTTAGAAAAAAAAAAAAATCTCTCTTCACGTTGCTTAGTGTTTTGTTGCGTTCAAAGAAATGCCAGTATACTAGTGCTGAAAGAAGAATAGAACAGAAATCCAGCATTATGTGTGGTTTTAGGATTGTTAAAGATGCTGTTGAGTTGAAATAATGTGCATCCTTTTTCTGCAGAAATCTCTTCGTCAGATTTAAAAGATATATAGAAAAGTCACTAACACTGAAAATTTGCAGGAAGCCTTGTAAGACTGTATTATAACAGAGCACTGTGAATGTTTGTATTTTTCTAGTTTCATTTCTTGGAATATCATGAATGTTTTTAGATGGCTGTAGCAAATTAGAAATACCTGACTAAAAACTTTTTACAAAGATGTTAACTTTAAATAAAGCCTCTGTTCACCTAAGCATGAAAGTTTTTAAAGATTTGACTAGCAATTTTTTCAGCTCTAATAATAAAATACACCAAAGGTGGTTGTAAATTGTGCTCATCTTTCATACAGAATATTTAGGAGCAGAACATATAATACACTGTTACCAGTTGATGTGGAAGAATTATTCAGCTCGGAAATCCTGTGTGATAGCATTGGTAACAGTAGTATAAATTGCGAGTATCTCTTGTGAAATTCTCATTCAAATAAATATTTCCAGATTTGTGGTGAACAGATACTAATAATCATATGATGCATAATAATTAATCATACATTTTTTTGGTTTATAGGGAGCAGAACTGGAAAGCTGTGGTGTTAATACCATGTTGCTGGTACATTTCTTTGGAAAAGAAGGAAAGGAAAAACTTCGCTATTCTGAGTTTTTCAGGTATTTTTTCAGCTAGGCAAGCCTAACAGCAGCCAGTCCTGTTTCTACCCCCTCTGCTTTGCACCAACACTGGCATTAACCTGACCCCACACTGAGCTGATTCAGAAAGTTAAGCAGGTAATGAAGCAGGATATTATTCTTGATTTTGCATGATTGAATTTTAGTTTAGCTCCTGGTTTCTGCTGTCTGCAGGAGGAGTTGAGCACCATGACAAGTCCAAAGCAGCAGTGGACCTGGAAGCTGTGAGGACTGAGACTACCATTCTTAGCAGCTGTGTGATGGCATACCTTAAGACAATATGATTCATGAGTATTTTTCTTTATCAAATCACCAAAAAAGTCACTATCAATTAAAAAAGATTTTCTGATTTGAGACACCCTTCTTATTACAACTGTTATGGTAGGCTACAGGCAACTGTGCTGCTTGCTTCAAATTCCAGCTTCTGTTGAAACTTTACCCGTGCCGTTTTGTTTACTCTTTGGACTACTTTTGCAATGGGACTATGCAGATACTTCATGGAGCTTATGTCAGAGCTGAGAATTAAGCCAGATGATAAACACCACATCAGACTAAAACTGTAGTGAAATACCAAGTGGCTATTACTCCCAGAAACGTAGTGCTCTATACATGTCTATTTCACTGTAAGCTTTGCAAAGTCAGAACTGTTGTAGGGAATCATTCAGTTTATGCGTCATACACATGTCAGAAAGATGGCCTGATCCTCGTCTGCATCAGAGTATGAAGTTCTGTTGTGGTTGCTTTTGACTTGAAAACCCAACCAGGTATCAACAGTTAGTATTTTAATTGGATGAGATTCTTTCTTCCAATGTTTATTTTGACCAGTAATGATGACCACCACCTACACAGCATCACAACTTAACTGGTTAAAACTCTCTGTTACTTGAGAAATCAATTTCTCCTGTTAGTATGAACTCCAGATGCATTTTGCTATGTGAACTTGGGCCCAGAATCCAAATGCACAGTCTTTCTTTGAGATAAATGGACGTTAAGTGCCTAAATACCTGTATAAATCTTGACACACGTCTTTTCTACAAAAATAATCAGTCATTTACAGACTGCAAAAATAAATTGGGATAATATATTTTACTTTATGTTCAGAAGCAGAGAATCTGTCAGCCTTCTTAAAAATGAATGTTGTTGCAATCAGTAGAGGTTTGGGGAAAGCCAGAGTAGAAAAAGAAGAGCAGCAATTTTTCTAACACTAAAAAGTGTTCAACTCCACTGGCTTTGGCACACACCGATTTTCAAATAAACAACCTTTCTCTTTTGAAGATCTCAACTCAATGGGAATCTAAGTGAGTAAAAGAAATTCAAGATGCCTCCAGCTCCCTTTTCTATAAATACCACAGATCCTCTCAATGAAACAAAAGGCAGAGAGCACCAGTAAAAGGTTGTGTTTGCATACACAGTGTAAACTGAAAAGCCTCAGGTCTTAGATAAAATCCTACATTGACCCAATGAGGCATGACATTGATGAAACTATGTTCCTAGTGCATTCAGAACACGTAGGTTAAAGACCTTTGCCTACCACACAGATAGAGGCCTGTAATCAAAATCAAACTCCCACATCTTGCTCTTAAAATTTGTGGGATAAGTGTAAGGTTTAATGCAGGTAATTTTTCAACGGTGGCAGTTACGTTTCGTAGAGCTGGAATGTGCCTCTTTATCACTGCGTAGACACTCCATCTCAGTTGCAACGTGACGGTAAAGTTTGTTTAACACACAGAAAGGTGAATAAAAGGATCACTGTCTTTTTAACCTGTGTGAAGGTATCACCTTTCACATGATTTTATTTGCAAGTAAATCAAGCACATCATTTCTGGGTTCCTATTGTTCAGAGAAAATGTGATTTCTATCTGATGGCCTCTCATAACATTTTATCTTACTCGGAAAGCTATTGTTGGCTGTTTGATCAAAGTGCCACACTGTTTTTACAAGAGATGACTGATGAGCTGTACAGACATAGATCATTGTCAAAAGCAGAAAATAATGATGGTAAATGCTTTTATCATTTTCCAAGTTCTTGCCTAGAAAGCTTTTCCATTGATCAGTGTAGTACCTAGTCAAAAGTAGGGGTGATTAGATTTGATTAGGACACACTAAAACTTGTCACATTAGTTAAATACATGGTGCTGTAGAGTCCTTGAAACTAAAAAAAAAAAAAAAAATGGAATGCTTTCTTTGTGAAATTTCGCTGTACTTACATGGGAATTCAGAAAGCTGAGACTAGTGTTCTCACCTCATTACTTAAATATATTTTCCTCATGCTTCCTCCTTTTCAGTTTGGCTGACATTAAAACATCCTTTTGTAAGTGTGCAACGATCTATATCTACATGTACACCAATGATGTCTGACCCTTTTAGCCCACAGTCCAAACATTTAAAAAATGTCAGACAGCCACAATCAATATATCAGGGCAATTAATTTGCCTTATTCTCCTTTCTTTGCATTCAGACAGCACAAAGAAAATGAAAACTGTCTACATCTCTTTCAGCAATGTGGAGCTGATGTAAGCCAGCTCTCGTGCCTCCCTTCCTACTGCCCCGAACGCAGGAGGCAAGCTGATTACGGGGAGGGAAAATGGTTAAGCATGCTGTGCTCCATCTGTCTCCAGCTGGTGCATGGTTCTTGGGAAATCATAGGTAGGTGGTACACACAAGGACAATCCTCAGGCTTTTTTTTTACCAGACATAATGAATGAGACCGTGCAACAGTATATCAGATCACTTTTCAACCTTTCTTGGGCTGCTGGGAGCATGGAAGTATTTTCATAGGTATTTTGTGATACCAGTCAAGATCTTTTCTCACTGTTCTTCAGAACGTAGTCAAAGCAGCAACCAAAGTTGCTCCTTTTCATTCTCTCCTGAGCAGCAGTGGTGGGACTCGCACTTCGTTCTGCAGCATCTCCTGGGACTGCTTAGAAGTGGTGGAAGCAATCCAGGACACACACCATCCTATGTCTTTCCCATAGTAACAAGGTAGTTTCAGAGATCTTAAGGTAGGACTTGAGGAACAGAGCTTCAACTCCAGACTACTACATGATTTCTTGCCAGATGTGTTGTCCTTAACATAAGGACAATATGATAATTATTATTAATAGTATTTCATAACTTTAAAAATGGCAGCTCGTTTCCCTGGCAAAAGTTAGGAAATTTAAATTATTCTTGATTATGTTTATGTACATCACTAGCAAAGGTGATGCCTCCTAGTCAAATGCAGCTAGAATCATTATTCTCCTGTGTCAGTTTGAGAAAATATAAACCAATATGCAGCAAGCCTAAAACCATGTAACAAAGAAGGGTAGATTTAATATAAGAAGCTGTAATCAGATGAGAATTTCCTCTCTGAAGATCTGAACAAGTTTCTGTTTCTGATGACCGCCACTCAGTTTTACATCTCAACAACAAATGTTGCCTTCTAATACCAGGGCCCTTCTTAGAGAATGTAAAATTTCAAACAGGAAGCCAGTAGTTCTCCGGGGTTTCCCCTGTTTTTTGAGACAAATAATTTTTGGTCTTTTCCTTCCAAAAACTGTTTCACTTGTCCTTTAATTTCCAGGTATATTGTATGTGCTATTTTTCCTTCTGAGCAGAAAACAATTTAGTTTTCTAGGTATAGCAAATATTTCTTCTTGACAGCCACTTTTTTTTCCTCCAAAAAAAAGTCTCTTACTGATCTTGTTTAAGTATGTCTAATCCCAAATAAAAGAGGAGACAGTAATTCACTCCCTAAACAGTTTACGACTGCTATGATTTTTGTCTGTAATCTGTCCCCAAGCAAGCTTAAATCTCTCACAATCTTCTTGAAGGAAAAAAAAAAAAAAAAAGTGCAGAGAGTATGGAAAGAATATTCAAAAAACTTTCTGGTCATTGAATTTTTTCCTAGGATGGCTAACAAAACAGTACTTTCCCAGTATGGTTAAACAATGGGCATCTTTTAATCATAAAAAGAAAAGTAACATTTAAAATCCAGTTTATGGCATTTTCTTACCTGATTTGCTGCTTCCAAACTTCTCATCAGTTAATAGAATTTTGCAGCAGAAATATTCTTTAATCATAGTTTCTTTTTTATTTTCTGCTTTAGCATGAAGGTCACAAATTGCATAACTGTACACAAAACATGCCTTTTTCCTACCTGTCATGTTTCTTTCCTTCCATACTTTGAATTCCTTGGTACATTTCATTTTGACCCTTTCATTTAAGAAACCGGAATTATCCAGGCTGAACCACACTGCTAGTGTTGACATTTTCCTGGTGCTGTTCTGCATTTGTGCCAATGCATGGATGCAGAATCTCTTTCAGGTAGCGCCATCAGCCAGTAGTGCTTTTGCTGTTACGATGACTTACATGTTTTCAGTGATTTTCATCTAGGGATTTGGAAGTGCCTTGCAGAAATAGAACATGGTTGCCTCCTTGTTTATCTCCATACTTACACTCATATCTATGTCTGTGTATGTGTATATAGAACCCTAATACATGTAGAGATTACATCTCTCATGCAACTAGAATCAGACAGTAAGGAAGTGGAAGTGGGAACAAAATCTGGCTTCATGTTTGTATGTTTCTTTCATAGTTGAATCTGAGTATTTCCCAAATATTTAGTAAAGATATTGGGAATAATCTGTTTCTTTCTTTCCTGTATACTTATCAAAGGAATAGCTTGATTAGTTTCTACAGAACACTTATAAAAGAAAGCAAGTAGTTTTGTTTTGTTTAGTTTGGAAACATGGAGGGCAGTAAATCAAAGAGGGTTTTGCCTGTAATTCTGAAAATTATGAGATTGATTAACTGTCTTACTGCTTGCAAAACTGAATTTACAAGCATAGATCTAAATGTTCTCTAAAGGTTAATGGTCAAGCCCTTATTAGGTTTTCTGGATTCTGTTTTGGAAGTCAGATTGCAAAAAGACAACCTTGGAGCTGGTTTGCAACAGTCTTTCAGTGCAGAGAGAGTTATCCAGTCTTTGAAAGGACATCAGTGTCCAAAGAGGAGCCGAAGCAGAGTACAGATGCTGGGGTGGTGTATCCACCACTATCCTTGTTGTTAAGTTTCCTTGCTATAAATCAGTGCAACAAGAACTGGTCAGTTCTGTATTACAGCGTTAAAGCTCTGTACAGACTTTTAGTTCAGGTCAAGAGGTATAGGAAAGAAAACTTTCCCTAACCTTTCCTTTTGTGTTTCATTCTTCTACTTTGTGTGCCGTAAGGAATACAACACTAGCACTTCATTGCAACATCTCAGGTTGGAAGGGAAATAGCTGCATTCCTGAGGTCTCCCCACTTTTATTACATTTTCACTTCTATTAAAGCTGCCAAAAAGTCTTGAGAGACTCCCTCTTTCTATAGTAAAGCACATTACAAAACAAGGGATAAAGCCTGATAAGGTTTCTGGATGCTGTTGTAACACGATAACGAATTTGGCTATTGGCCTTCAACGTGGGTGTTTTAGAGAGTGTGGATGAAACAGGCAATCTTAAAGAAAGTATTGTCTGTTCCCAGCCTTTTCCTTGTCTTATAAATTTATGATTTACCTTTCCTTTTTGTTATTTGGGAACAGAGCTTGCTTTTATTTTCAAGCTGCTATAGCATAAGAGTATTCCCAGCATAATTGTTTTTGAATTGTAGAGCACATCTACAATTAGAATCCTGTTCCCATAGTTGAATTCTGGCTCCCTTCAAAGTCCCCAGCCAAGCTCCCACTGACTTTGGGAGAGCAGGAATTTAATTCCTATGCTTGTTTTTCCTAATATCTGGAGAAATTTTTAAGGAATTTCCAGCTGAAACTCATCGCACTGTGATCCAGAAATACAAAAGCAAGTATCCCTAGTGGTGTCTTGGCATTTAGCAATAAATTTTTTGGCATAAAAATAACTTTCTAGTTAGGAAGTAAAACTTGATACTTATTTTTAATAACTTTTCATAACTTTCACTTAAAAAAAAAAGTCATTAGGATTTTTAACTCTCTCATCTGGGAATAAGAGTGACCTAGAATACTGATGTGATGATTCACAGTATTTTAATTTTTGTAATATGGGAGACTATCACATATAAATTTTAAATTACACATTTCAGCTGCTGCTCCAAGCAGCATTTGTTATGGCAGGAAAGCTTCCCACTCTGGCTTGCCAGGAGCAAGCCTGCCTACAAGTTGAAGTGAAATATCTGTTAATTTTTTTGTACCTAAATAAGTAATTCCCACTCCCCTCCCTAATCCGTGTAATGCAGCAAGATACACAGCTGTTGTGCCACAGGAAGGGTGCAGTGTCAGTGTCCCAGATAAAGTGGAGAGGGCAAGAACCCAGGCCAGAGAAAAGGCAATGGAAAACTCACAGAGGGATTGGGGAAATATAACACCTTATTCACTGTCCAACTGGAAAAGAGTGCAGAAGCAAGCGCACTTCGAAAATGCCACAGCCAAACCCTTCACTTTCCTCTTTGGCTTTGCTGCACCTTTCTGGCTGGCTGATGTGTGTGGCTAGGTGGGCCACTCGCTCCTTCCTCAGCACGTACGAATGCCTGGTCTTTCAGCTCTCCTGATTTTTTTGGGTATGGCTAGAGGGCAGGTCTCTGAGGGTTTTCTGCTTAAGGAAATGCAGTGTTTAGAAAAGATGGAAGAATATGTAGTTTGTCATCACCTATGGCTGCTGACCAGTACAGCAAATGACTGAGAGTTAGCTCAAGATAAATAACTCATACTTTCAATAACAGACCTTAAGTCTGTTGCAAAATGTGTCCACCTTTCATAAATCAAAAGCCAAGAAAATAAAACACGTGGCATCTCATTTCCCTAGGTCCACGTTTTAGGCGTGTTTCTAAAAGTTACTTCATTTTCAGCAGCTTCTCCTCCCCCACACCAGATGTGACATGGGTTGGAAATGACAGTCAAAGATGCAGTTACTATTCTGCATGGTTTCTGCTGTGACTTCCAGCCAAGCGCAAGCCACACATCTCAGATACAATCTACTCCCTTGCCATTGATGTCCGCTCCCAAAATGCAGCCAAGTGGCCCTAACCAGTCTCTGCTGGACTGACACTGTGCCTGGTCTACATGACCGGTCCATGCTGTCCTCTCCCCACACAGCCCGACCTCCCTTTCCGGGGTCCGAGGAGTCTAGCGGGTGGGGCTGTGGCCCCCCCCCAGCCGGTCTCCCTGGCCCACGCTGGCTGCAGGGCTGGCCAGAGGCAGCAGTCACCTCACGGGTTGCAAGGACAGGAGCTGCATCTGAAAACTGAAGAGTGGTTTGCAAGCTGTGCAAGTAAGATCTCGCTGGTCTGTAATACAAGGGGCCTCCCCTTCACACAGGGGGCACAAACAGGTCCTTTGGTGTTTCATCCCCTTGTGAGAGGGAGAGTCAGGCGAGTTAAAAGTGAGCCAGGTTGTAAGGTGGACTGTGAAGGAAGATACTCAGTGTTTGACTGTGCTGTGAAAGCCTCGTAACCCCCTTTCCTGGACCAGAAAAATGCCCATATAAAATGTGAGCATATCATACCCCTCCTCAGTATTACCCTAACAAAACTCTAGCCTGAAACTTGAAATCAGGCTTTCATTTACTTGCATGTCCAGAGCCACGAAGCATTTGTTGGCCCTTTATTTGCATGTGCAGCTCTCCTTATTAGAGGAAAAAATACAAGAGAGAGCTTGTGCTGCAACAGCAGTCTGCAGCTAACCCTGTATAGACGTCACAGAGCTTTGAGTTACTAATTGTCCAAGTGATCTCATTAAAGAACTAATGGTAGCTGTGCAGGCTAAAATGACATAATTTCAGGGGAAAGAATTCAAACCCAGTGAGGCCGTGCAAACACTGATGAGCAAAAGAGCCTCTGCTGATATGTGCTACATAAACCTTTAGCTGTCCTCTTCTCCAGCTAATTGCTTTGTCCCAGTATAGGAGTATTTCATTCTGTCCTGTCAATAATTTTTGCAAGTCAATAAAGCAGAGTTCTTTTGAATTACTAAAGGGATTCTGGCCAGCATCACTGTGTTTTTAGCATTTGTTCATATTTAAAAATTACCGCTTTTTGGATTATTATCTATTTCTGAAGTGGAAATTACCATATGGATTGCACGGTATTGTCTTCTGCTTTCTCGAAATTTGTATCAGGCCAGAAGAAATGATAATGGTCTTGTAGACCAAACTGGGGAAACTCCAAGCTATAACTGCTTACACTTCTAGCTCAATACCTGCGGGTTGTTACTAGTTTCTCATGCTGTTTTTACTTTTCTTCCTAAAAGAATGGATGTCTCCTAAAAACCTTGATGTTCACCCCTTCCTTTTTCAGACAGCTCTCTTCGTACCTTCACAAACACCTGCAGCATCATTTTCTGTGCTCTTCCAAACTCTATTCATGTCAATTGTAATCCTCTCTAATCCAACCACTAGTGAGTGCAGAACTGATTGGCCAAACCTTTCTTTGCAGTTATAATCTTTGAGGCTTTTAGTCCTGTTTTCCTGCAGTAATGATTTCAAGTTTCCTCTTTTCTTTAACTCTTGTGATTATTAAGGCCTCATCTTTCTAGGCACTTTCCAGTCTTGTCATTCCTGTCTTATTAATATGAAATTTCATAATTCGTGTGTCAGGCCTTTAGTTACCATGTCCTTTTTCATTCATTCATTATAATACTCTCTTACCAATCGTTTTATCTCATTATCTGCACATTTTCAAACATTAGTAAAAGCTATATGTTAAATGTACCTGCAAATTCTCTTGGCAGCAGCAATCTGTGAATGTAGACTTAGAGAGCACCCTACTGGTGTCATTCATGAAATGCAGCCGTGGCAGCAAATGTGCACACCCAGGCAGAATTAAACCAGTGACATTGTAAGCAATGGTGTTGATAGTATCTGTGATTAAGAGTTAGTGTCTACTACATTTAGCAGACACCAGTAGGTAGTAGTAGTGATACAGTGGTGCAAGTATCAACTGTTGGATAATATCTGCTTACACTTAGATTCATGGAAAATCTGCAAACAGAAGTCCAAGAAATGGAATTCATAAAGTTTTCAAAGGGTTTGAAAGTCATGAGAAAAGAAGACTTTGCAGAATGGTTACTGTACTTCACTGATGAGGAAAACAATGAAATTTACTGGCAGAATGTGAACGACAGAATCGAGGCAGGCGAGGTTAGTGTTGCTTTGGTTTGCTTCCTTGTTTGTTATGTACAGGTTTTCATTTGAATATGAGTATCTAATAAAGTAAGTAGTATCAAAGTGAATTATTGCAGCTTTTAATTTTTATACAAATAAGAACAATGGTAATTTGCGAATTGAGAAAGAAAAATATTGACAATGAGTAAGTAATCACGCCTAAACATTAGGTCCCCCAGATTTACTGAAATAGATTTACTGAGATTTGAGTGTATTGTTCATTATATATCATCTGAATTCTGTGATACTCTAGAATATCAGTTTGGAAGAATTCAAGACTTTTTGCAAGTTTACAAACAACCTGGAAGACTTTTCTATTGCCATGCAGATGTTTACTGTAGCCAATCGTCCTGTTAAACGAGGTAAGTACTGCACATCTTTTGTATTTTTTTTAAAAAGGAAAAAATGCATTTTTGTTGCAGAATTAATGTAAATAGATTATCCCAAAGTATCCCAAAGTAGCGCTATAAAGTCCAAAAATAGTATACTGCTTTTTATTCTGAATTCATTACATTTAATGAAAAAATAATAATATAAAGTTTGCAAAATGTTTTGATTTGTAAGTTCTAATAGGCTATCATATGCTGAACCACTCACAGCAGACTAAACCATAGAATCATAGAATGATTTGGATCGAAAGGGACCTTTGAAGGTCAGCTAGTCCAACCTGCCACTGCCATGGGCAGGGACATCTTTCACTAGTTGCGCAAAGCCCCATCTAACCTAACTTTGAACACTTCCAAGGATGGGACATCACAGCTTCTCTTGGCAACCTGTTCCAGTGCCTCACCACCCTCAGAGAGAATTTCTTCCTTATATCCAATCCAAATCTCCCCTCTTATAGTTTAAAGCCATTGCCCCTTGTCCTGTCACTACACGCCCTTGTAAAAAGTCCCTCTCCAGCTTTCCTGTAGGCCCCCTTTAGGTACTGGAAAGCTGCTATAAGATCACCCCGGAGCCTTCTCTTCTCCAGGCTGAACAGCCCCAACTCTCTCAGCTTGTGTGCATAGGAGAGGTGCTCCAGCCCTCAGATCATCTTCGTGGCCCTCCTCTGGACTCACTCCAGCAGCTCCATGTCCTTCTTGTGTTGGGGACTCCAGAGCTGAATGTAGTATTCCAGGAGGGGTCTCACGAGAGCAGAGTAGAGGGGCAGAATCCCCTCCCTTGGCCTGCTGGCCACGCTTCTTTGGATGCAGCTCAGCACATTGCTGGCTAGCTCAATTTTTCATCCATCAGTATCCCCAAGTCTTTCTCTGTAGAGCTGCTCTCAGTCCAGTCTAAATTCCAGATTAGGAAGGTTTTATTGAAACAATGAATGCTTCAGTAGCAGTTCATGGTAACAAAGCTGTTTCCTTATAGTGAAACTAGTTTTCTGAGGAAACTAAACAATAGAGTTCTCTTCTTTTGCAGGGTTTGTAGCATCTTACTGTGTTTTACTTATGCCTCCATACTTCCTTCTCCATGTGCTTATGTAGCATTATGCAATCATGGCTATGAAAAACAAACAATGTAGTGAAGTGGGTTTTAAAATAAAGATTTGGAGAAGGGAAATTGCTGCTTTCCCATTTAGTAGAAATAGGAGCGATGCAACAAAAGTTTCATGGACATACAAATGCTTTTTGTTACAATCCTGAGGTTGTTACTTGTTGAAAGACAGCTCTCATCTGAAAATAGTAACATAAAAAGTTCCTGAGGAAATTTGATGAGACATTAACATTCATTGACATAAATATATGATGGACTCATGTGAAAAAGGTGAGAGAGATGTGAGAAGACGTGAAGAGAATTCAGTATTCTTGAGAGAGAAATGCGAAGATTGTTTGAACCAAGGAAGACCAAAACTGGGGAGGTTTACAACTTGTGACTTTCATCACTAGTTATTGGAGCCTTTCAGAAAGGTTTTGTTTCCACAGCCTCTCTGCACAGCTATCCTAGTGCTTACCCACTCTCATCATGGAGACTTTTCTGTGTCAAACCCTTGTTGCAGCTTATGATGATTGTGCCTTGCCTCCATGCACCTTTGAGAAAAATCTGATGCCCTCTTCTCTATAACCCGTTTTAGAAGGTTGAAGGCTGCAGCGAGATCCCCTTTTACACTTCTGTTCTCCCCAGCTCCTGCAGCTTCTCTTCCATCATGTGCTCTAGTTCCCAGCTGGGTTTGTGGCCCTCCCTATCTGGTTTGACATCTTTCTCCTAGGGGAGGAGATAGATTTTATTTGCACAAGGTGTACAAAGAGTGGAGAGGAAAGAGGATGATTTGATAGTGAAATAATAGTCATAAGTGAGATATGAAAGTTTAGCTCACTTCTTTTTTAAGTATCCTGGTTTTAAGTGCCAAAGGATGATGAGGCCAGCAGTTGGTGTTGACTCTGGTAATACTTCCTTGTAAAAACTCATTCCTAACGAGCAGGCACGTGTGACTGTTTATGCACTGAACCATACTGTGATCAGAAACAGTCAGCTCCTGAGGCAACTCACGGACGTTACATGCATACATGTCTAATCCTTTCCTGAATCTCACTAAGTTCTTTGTCTTGCTGTTTGCGTGTGTGTACATGTGTGTATTCACACATATGTGAATATTTATCTAAAAATAAGACAATCCTTTAGTCTTTCCTTTTATTCTAGACTTTTTTTTCTTCTAAGCAGCTTATCTTTCCTCTCTGATAAAGTAGCCCTTCTTGGTTTGAAGATTATTATGCTCCACCATTTTCAAAGATCTTTCTCCTTTTCTTCATATTCTGTTCAAAAAAGTGCAGTGCCATCTCTGGATTTATACTTAGTTTCAAGGACTGAAACAGTTAACATCTTTTTAAAGACAAAATTAAGACTTTACTGTAAATATCCCGTATTTCATGTCCTTTTCAAATTGTGGTATATCCGTTTACACAAGGTTTTTCAACTTCATTGTATTTAAACCAACTGTAAATTAAGCAAGTGCATTTATACAGGAATTGTTCAAAGAGGCAAAGATGAGAGCTAAGTGAGGAGTGCTCTTTCCTCTAGTAAGCTTCAGAACTAATCATATTTATAGCACTATTTATAAACAGAACTTGTTTATGAAAGCAGAACCACGTTATTACTATATTTATGACGTAGTTGGACAACTTGCTGTAGTAATCTACAATACTGCTATATTTTAATAACCTCCAGTCCCTCCTTGAAATTCACACTTCCGTGATGTCTTCAAAAATGCATCCAGTTCATGTGTTGTGATTGTGCATGCTGTAATATGCAATAATCATTTCACTCTTACTGTCTGCTGTTTTACGATAACCCCACACGTTTCTTCATCTTCCTTGAGTCAAAACTTCAAACTGTTTACACCACAAGACCAAAAGTGGAGATAGATAGTAGGTATTACTGTAATGCACATGATACTGTAAAGAGAGAAGGCCAAAAAGCTGAAGAGAAAAGCGGATCTCCAGAGAGGTATGACAGCTTTGTCTGCCATAAATCCTCATAAACTCTTCCATCACAACTTAAGAGAAGGTATCGTAGTTCCTTAAAAAACAGAACTACAGGCGTATAAAGCCATGTGCTATAAAAAGTGCATTGAGTATTTGATGGTCTGTGTTTCTACAGAGTTGCTGAAGGGATTGTTGGTTGAGGTGGAGCATATTGTAAAATACTGTTCTCTGAGGAGAAGAGTTTTCTTGCAGAATGAATTGGCGTGAAACTGGTTTGAGATAAAACGGTATTATTTCTTATGAGAACATAGTAAAGCAAGTACTTATCATCCATATGCACAGGTATCAGCCAAAAGTACCCAAGTTTTCAGCATGCAGCTATTGCTGGCAAAAAATATCATTCTTACTGTTGCTTGAGAAGTAGTGCATTTCAAAAGTTTATCATATAATTGATAAAGATTGTGTTACGAAAAATGAAGCAAGCTCAAGAACACGTGAACTGAGGCCTCCTAATAGTCTACTAGTTCACACATCTCATTCTCCAGTTAGGATACCGATGAGACATTGTAAATTGTACAGAATCCTGCTATTTATGTGCTTTCCAATTTTGTTACAAGTTCCCAGTCACTTATGATCTAATATTATGTCTTTACTAGCTGAGTTCAAGAGAGCAGTGAAGGTGGCAACAGGACAGGAGCTCTCAGATAATGTTTTGGATACCATCTTCAAGATTTTTGATCTAGATGGAGATGACTGCCTGAGCCACAGCGAGTTTCTTGGAGTCCTGAGGAACCGAATTCATCGAGGTTTGAGGGTAACAAGCTAATGTCATTGTTTTTAAATACCACAGATGATTGCTACAACTGTCTGGTTAATTCTTGTAGAAAGACAAGTAGAGATAGTGAATGAAAGAAGTTATATTTTAAACTGAAGATTCCTTACTGCTTATGAATCTAGGAGGAATGCTGCCACCAAGAACTTGTTATTATGCATGTGAACTATGGGAACAAGCAGCAGCTTTGCATTATATATTATATTTACACAGTCTGTGAGTAAGAGTCTTTTTTGTGTAAATACTAAACATACTTTAACTTTATTAACAGGTACCACAACAGCAAGGCATTCAAGGTTACTGGAAGTGTGTGAAGAGAGAAAGCATTAAAGGAGCCAAAGAAGTGTGGAAGCAAACTGGGAAAAGTCCTTTTTAAAGCAGTCCATTGTTCTTTTGCTATAAATGTTATTATTAAGGGGGGGGTTGTCTGTCCTGTTTACATAATAGCTGAATCAAAAATACTCTTTTTTTTTACTATAGTTAAACTTTAATTAACCCGGTTTCTAATGCAATAATTTTATATCGTTCTAGTGCAATTAGTTTGGTTTACAGAACTGTCATCACTTTTGACCCCCGTACAGAAGTACTTTTGTTTTAGGGAATAGTGTTGTTTACTCCTCTGTGGAGTCTGACCCTGCCCTGTAGCATACAGGATACGCAGGATTTAATAGTGGCCACTGACAGGAACATCGCAGCAATATCATTTCCTGTTGGAAGAG